CACAGCAAAGTTCTGGGCCGGGCAGCTCAGGGCGGAGCCTTTTATTCGTGAGGTTTTCTGTCGCATTGAGGCTCACAGCCACACCCTGGCTGAGCACAGGACGCAGGCTGCTGCTCCCCGGCCGGCCTGCCTTTCTGTACCCTCCACAGGACGTCGATGGAAATGGCTGCCCCCCTCCATGAACTCCTCATCACTCCCTGGACAGTTCCAACCTGACGTGGATGATGGCGGGGTCACGCAGAAAGGCCTGGGCTAATTGTCACGAGGCCATTTCCAGTTCTGGGGTTACTGTTGTCTGACACTGGGAAAGTCATTTAACTGCTTTCATTTGCTGTTCTCTCGGCTTCTTCTTCACGCCCTCCCTACCCCACAGGACAGTGGTGAAGGCTGCGTCAGAGGGTTAGCCAGCATGAAAGAGCTTGGAAAACTCTAGAAGGCAGGGCCGGTGTAGTTACGATTGTTTATTTGGTTTCCTTTCTGCCCATTTTGGCAGCAGCAAGAAGAGTCACTCCCACAGCAGCCATCCCTGCTGATCAGATTGTCTGGGTCCCAAAGAGCGTATGTGGTCTGCATGGGACCGAGAGCTGAACAGAACGACTGACTTCGGGACTCTTCGGGAAAATGCCTGCGGCCTGCCCCCTCCGGAGCTTCCTGCACGACTCATGTACGTCCACAGAATCCGTTCGCAAACAGCAGTGTGCTCCCTGCCTCTTCCCTCGGCGACGTCCCTCAGAGCACACCCTCACCACCGCGTTTCTACCGGCCTCACTCCGAAGCAGCCGCCCGGCGCCTCCACGTGTGGGCGAACCGCCCGCTTAACCGGTGCTCTGGTCGTGGACACCCAGATGCCCATGCTCTTTCAAAAGCCGTTTTTTCTCTGAAACAGTGCTGTTAACACAACAGCCACAGAATAAATGTTTAATTACGCACGCTTCCTCTTCCTCACAACTGGGTTCGCCCTGTGTTCAGCCTCCCTTCCATCCCCTCGCCCTTCCTTAGACACCGTTTACTGAGTCCCCGCGATGGGCCTGGCACTCTGCTAGGATCTGGTGGCTCTCCTGGTTTTTTCCCTTCTTGGAGCTGGGATCTAAGTTCACCCCCGCCTCAATTTCTTTTCATGGACCAGTTACTACTACTCCTCGTAGTTGATTTAAAGTCAATTTATTACTTATAAATCTATTAACTTTTTCTCTAAACTATTTAAACACTGACAACTGATAAATCGAAACTTAAAACCTTACAATTGCCTTAAATATTTACACTTAGTCAAATTATCCTTTTTCAATATGAGTCTAATATAACGTCTCCTGAATGCTTCAAACACCTTAAAAACACAAGTTTTTACTGTGCCCATACTTGAACCTACTTGTAAAAATCATTATTGTTTTTATCTCTACAAAACTTACTTTTGTACTTTTCCAGAACTGCAATATCCGAAGGCGCCCTGGTTACTGCTAATGAAATATACGCTTGAGATCGATACTGGGGTGCAGAGGGAACAAGGGGACGGGTGATAAGGTGGCAGGCACTCCATGGCCTCTGAAAAGGCAGAGCTAGGGAAGACGGTGCTTCCTCGGGCCCACTGTGAACAGTGGGTTGGCTCCCATTGCTCTAACATCGCTGAGCCGTTTTTTTAAACACAATTTTAAATGGACTTTTCTCTGCAACATGCCTATTTAGATTTTTAACACTTCGGACTGTAACTGTCCCCACCTCTGATTTTATCTTTGCTCTGTGCCTTAAGGGTCATTACTTCGAGGTCACCCATCCATATCCTTTATCAAAATCTGCGTTCAAGAAAGATTCTTATAAAAATACATATCTCAATTATTGTTTTCATGTAAATGAATATTTGTCATATAGCTGTTAGATATAATTATAAAATTATTGGCTCAACTATATTCAATTATGTAAATTAATCATTGATTATCTAACTAAATGCCATTTCACGCTGATGAATGTATCGCCACAAATTCACTCAGGTGCGGGCTTTGAGTCTGACTGCTACCAGTGGGCCAGCTGGGAAGCTGATTTCCTCCAGGACCCATCATTTAAGCAGGATGCCATTAATTATATAATTTTGAGCGATTTATATTTAATTCCACTAATGCCTCTTCCTTAATTGAAGGCATTTTGAGATATTACTGGCAAATGAAAAGAGAATAAAGATATTTGTTGATTGAAAATGTGCGAATCACCCAGCAAAGTGACGGACGAGCCGGGGTGGGCTGACCTCTCCATCTGTAAATCTGGTCCCTTAGAAAAGGACTAGGTCACTTCTGTGTGCTTGTGTCCAGGGCAGTTTTCAGTAATAACAGATGCTCAGCGACTCCTTACATAGAAGAGGAAGAAAATGCTGTGGGAAAAATGGAGGAAATCATAGCTCTGAGAACCACCCAGGACTGTCGCCCGAATCCACAACTGCTCTTTTAAAATTTGACTTTGATAATATTCTCAGGTAATTGGGTTTTGAGACAAATTTTAAATTGCTTCATTTCCAAAATTCATTTTGGTCACAACATCCAGGAGCAATCCATCAGCTAATCAATAAATAACATTTAAATACTGCTGCAAGAAAGGCAACCAGCACAAAACCAATATTGTCAGCAACCCAGAACAACTCTAGTTTCCTGACAGAAATCAATTCACAGCAAAATAGCGATTATCATAAATATTTATAGTTCTAAAAGGAAAGCTCATCAATGCAGCTTTTGAGCAGCTCATTTCCAAATGAAAGACTGCTCACAACCTATCCTGTGAAGAGGATGTGGTGGGTGTGTCACAGCAAGCCTACCATTGCCTTGCAATGGCACTTTGGGGGTGTGGTGGGTAGTCTTGGGCACATCTGGGATGGTGGCAAAGTGGGAAGAACGCTGGGCCTGGAGAGACCCGTTCCACATCTGGGTCTTCACTGCCTTGCTGTGTGACCTTGGAAAGCCACGTAACCTCTCTGAACATGCCTTTTTTAGTCTACAAAAGAACGGTAATCCTGCCTGTCTGATGTAACCCCTCAGTTATCGTGTGGATAAAATGAGCAGCAGAGGGTGGAGATACCGCTGCACGTGTTTAACGGACTGGGCAAATTCGGGGTCTTACAATGTCTCCTTATCTCCCAAGAACAGGATTAAGGAACAAGGCAGAAAGGCTGCTGAGAAATCAGATGCGTCAACCTGAAGCTCACTGTCTATGGAGTTTTACTACTGGAAAAAAAAGTGACAAAGGGAATGCATGTGCCCACTCAGTAACTACTGTTCACTGGGCACTGGGAAAACAAGGATGAAAAAGCCCCGTATGTGATGCTTCTGTGCTCAGGAGCTCATGGGGAAAGGGCCGTACAAACAGATGAATGGGGTAGGAGGGAGTAGGGAATGCGAGGTAAGTGGGAGCAGAGCTGTGGGAACAGATGGACTTCAGGGCTGTCTGAAGGGGAGTTTAACTTGAGCAGCAACAGAGGGGAGGTTATTCCAGGAAAAGACATAACAGGCAAAGGTGAGCACTCCAGGGGAACCATAAAAATAAATCAGTCTTTCCCAAACTTCTCACTTGAGGTTCACTTTTACATTATTTTTTGCCCTGTCTCTGTACCACGTGTACCATTTTAAGTTGACGAATTTTTAAAAATGCACTTAAGTTGTATTTAAAAAACTTTCTATTACTACCATAAATGAAAAAAACCACTAACATTTGTTATGAACAGAAGATAACCTTAAAGATAAAAGCAACACAAAACTCATTAATTTCTTCAATAAAATAGCTGTCAGGCTCAGTTCTGGTTTCTGGGGCTAAAGGAGTGAGCGAGGGGACAGAAGCAAGCTACTGGGATAAACTAATGTCAGACAGTAATAGATACTGTGCAGAACATAAGTGACGGGGGGTTATTTTAAGTGGGGTGATCCGGGAGGGCTCCTTGAAGGCGTCGTCAGAGCAGAGATAGGAAGGAGGTGGAGGAGCTAACCACTCTAATATCGGTACGAAGACAAAGTCATCACATCTCAGCTTTCTGCAAGACAGTCAGGACGGAGACACGGCAGTCACTGTCTAGGGCTGGTTCGAGGTGGTTTAATTCTGCCTGCACCGACTACATGAAGTCTGGTACCTCCTGAGGAGAGCATCCCACCTTGGGAAACTGCAATCTGAGAGGAAGGCAGGCTGTAACCACCCCGACTGACACATTGGTAAACTGAGATCAAGAAAAGTTAAGTCGCTGTCCCAGATTAGTTAGTAAAGGGCAGAACTGGGACACGAACCCTAAAATCTTTCAAGTCCAGCCCGGTTGCTCAGTACCAAGTGGGTCCAAGATGGGCTGGCAGGTAGATAGATTAGCTCCAGCAGAACTGGGAAAACTCCCAAGCCCGCGATCCGTATTCCAAGCCCTTCCCAGGAGCAGTTCAAAACGCGGGTCGGCGGAACCAGCGCAGCTGCGGAACACGCGGAGCGGACGCCGAGCGCGGCCTCCGG